ACATGCATATAAGTACAACCAATGGACATAAAACTCTGGGGAGGGAGGGATATGTGGGAGGGAAGGAGGGGGGCAAAAAAAAATCAATAAAATATGTAAAAATAAATAAAAATAAATTTTAAAAAAACCTGTTAGCTGTATTAACAGTTATATCATTTTCTCCCTCAAGTCCTCTGCAAATCAGAGCAGATAGAGACTACCAGCTTTTCTTGGAATATTTAATTTTAATATAACAAAAGCAGGAGGAGTATCATATACCTGAATTTCACAGAAAAGCACTTCAAGAGGTATTAACAGATTTTGAGAGGCAGGATTAATTAATATGTCGGTGTTGTATCTTTAAACATACTTATAAATTTGGAAACACAAGAGGCCACAAAGACAAAAAAGTATAACCTCTATGAAAAACACCGATAGCAAACATCCTATCACTAGATGTATCTGTCTCCAAGTACTGAATTCTAAATCTCCATGAGATAAATGCTAACAATGAAGGGAAACTCATAAAACGTTTGATTTTCACAACATTCTCTAGAAAAACTTCAAAGCAATCCCTCAAAAATGGGGTGGGATAGACTTTTAAAATATTACCAAAATCTCTAGCAAGTGCTAATATTGTCTACTTCAAAATCTCAGTAAACTTGAGGTTATTAACTCCTGGTTATAAAGTCAAATATGGTAAAAAAAAAAAAAAATTAATTTGGCTTTTATCTTTTTATTGGAGACAGTCCTCATTTGTGTTCAGTGCCTATAAATAAAAGTAAATATCTCAACAGCAAATACAAATATATATTTTTTTTATTTTCTTTGCTATTGGCTACTTAGGATGTGAGAAGGGTAGTATGTATGTAGTGCTTTGGGAGCTGGCAAACTGGTTGGAATGCCATTCTGACACTAGTCCAAAGTCTGTCAAGTTACTCTTAAATAAAAAGTTAAGGAATGACTGAAAAAGAGAAAGAAGAATACTCATCCTAAGAATTTATCACTTTTTTAAAGGGAAAAAAATAAGAATAAAAGTAGTAAGTAGATTTGGGTATGTTAATAGAAGCGTGTTTAAAGTTCAAGTCCAAAAACGTTTGGCTCTAACATCTATAAGTGACTTTTTAAAAGTAGAATCCAATTTAACTAGATGCTGCCATCTACTGGACAATATGTAAGAACTTTGCACTTCCATGTTTTAAAAAAGCATTCATGGAGAGACACAGTATAAAAGATTTCTGTTTTTCTGTTTGCATTATAAGCTTAACTGAAGAAACTGAAGAAACAGTAATACAATAAAATCCTCTCTTCATTTTCGTGATCTGGTCAAGTGTGAGCTAATCAAGATGGATGGTAACATCTGTTTCACCTCACTGTCTTTTATTCCCATTTCTTGTGTATTAACTCTACTTATGTATCTTATCTGCTTTACCAATACATAATAATCAATTTTATAAACCTTATAAATAATAAATACATAATTTAAATGAAATAAAGGTAAACATAAATAAATCTCATAAATCTTATATGCTTTATCAATATGTAATAACTAAGAATTCAAAATCTAAAATTTGAAACTCTAACTCCAACTTTCAGCTCATTAAGTTCACCTAATTTCCATGTTAGAATTTTAGTACTGATCTAACTTGAGTGTAACTGTCTACAGGGCCTATAGCAGTCATGTGACTCCAGAGATAACAACTGTGAGCTCTTCAGGTTTAAGGCAAATATAATGTCATGATCTTTAAAAATTAATGTATTTGATGTTCTGATTTAATTTTGAAGAAAGGGCAAAAGTTTTGCCCTCCCAGGCCAAAAATACATTTAGTAGTGAACTCTGACTGAAAAGATTAAAGTCAAAAGGCCACCATTGATCCTTTCATCTATTGCCTCATCCATTAGCTTTCTAAAATACTGGGTTTCCCAAAAAAAAAAAAAAAAAAAAAAAGTATACACACTTTGAATAATTATTCATCCCAATGTGTTAAATCTAAAAAGAAAGAAACGTCAATTGAGCTATAGATTGTTAGAAGTGTACATACATTTTTGGGGGGAACATATGCTGAGATGCTATAGCATCCAGAACCTCATCCCTGTCAATGTCCATGTTTTTTATTTGGAACTAGAAGCCCAGTGTGGATGAAGGTGTGCACAGGAGCTCGATTCCCCTTGCCTCACCTGGCTGCCCCGCCCATCACTGCTTGTAGCTCAGGCCCCGCCCTCTACGGCTGGTAACTTTCTGCTGTTTGTAGCCCTCCACAGCTCATAGCCCTTTGTAGCTTGCGCCCCACCCCAACCGCCATGAGAGCCGCTGCTGGTTTCGTTATGACGGAGTTAAGGCATCATGACCACAGGCTTTTGATTAATATAGATAGGGGTGGAGAATCAGTTCTATGAAGGTGAATTACAGGCAGACATGAAAGAAAATATAAGAAGTTTAACTTTTTGAGACATATCTTCATACAACAGTCTTTAAATATTTAAGTTAGTAAAAAAGTATTTTTTACAAGTGCTTTGCGGTATTTTTTCTTAAATAATGTAGTCGTTGCTAAACAGCTCTCAGAGAGGAAAAAACATGTCTTTAAAATAAACTTTTTGAAAAAGACAATATACCTACTCTAATAAAATGCATTACAAAACTATAATAAAAACAGTGAAATACTAACATCAGTGCAGACAAATATTAAGACTGAGAAGAATACATCACTTCTGGGATATTTTTGCCAAAAATGCATAATCTCCATCGAATGAAGAGAAAATATCAGACAAACTGAAGTTAGAGGATATTTTATGACATAGCTGACCACTGAAGTTAGAGGATATTTTATGACATACTCTCCAAACATGTTAAGATCATAAAGACAAGGAAAGACTGAGGAACTGCCACCGACTGCAGAAGACTAGGGGGACAGGGCACTAAATGCAATATGGGATCCTAGATTGGACACTAGAAAGCAAAGAGGACATTCATGGGAAAACTGATAAATTTCAAGGTCTTTAGTGTAAGTAATAGTATTATACCAATGTTAATTTCTTAGTTTTGATCACTGTACTATGGTTATACAATATGTTAACATTAGGAAATGAGGAGTATACTGGAACTCTATATATTATTTTTGTAACTTTTATGTAATTCTAAAATTATTTCAAAATAAAAAGTGTGCAATGCTCCTGATTCTGTGGGTCAGTAATTTGAGGGACACCACAGGAATCATTGACTCTGTTCCATTATGAATGGGGCCTCGGCTGGGTTGGCTGCATTCTACTGGAGATGTCTGGAGCAGTACAACTGGGGTCATAGGTCTACCCTTGGCTATTCTGTAAGTGGTATTTGCTAGAGGAAATGTCCAAAATTGTTCCTTCATTCAGATGTCTTGTGCCTGCACTAAGATAGCTGGAATAGTCAATGTATTAGTTTCCTAGGGCTGCTGTAACAAATTACTATGGGCTGGGTGTTTGAAAATAACAGGAATTTATTCTCTCGTAGTTCTTTCTGGAAGCTAGACATCTTAAATCAAAGTATTGCCAGGGTCATGCTCCCTTGGAAGTCTCTGGAAAAAAATCCTTCCTTGCCTCTTCCTAGCTTCTGGTGGCTCCAAAATCCTGGTGTTCCTTGGTTATTCCAATCTCAATCTTCACATGGCCTTCTTCCCTATGTCATTGTTTTTCTGTCTCTATTAATCTTCTCTTTTTATAAGGACACCAATTATTGGATTTAGGGCCCAGTCTAGTTTAGTATAACCTCAACTTAACTAATTACATATGCAGAGATCCTATTTCCAAACAAGTTCACATTCTGAGGTTCCATGGGGATATGAATTTTGGAGGGACTACTAAGCTCACTATTGGCAGAATTAGTCAGCATCATTCTCTCTGCATGGAGATAGACCCAAGCAACTTCTGAGCTCTCAATGTGGGGGCTGGAAGGAACAGACCTAAAGGAATTTCATCCACATCAAAGTTCATGCTAAAAAGTTGCAGGTTGTTGGGATTCTAAAATGTTAGACATTTCTTTTGAAAAAACAAATGTATTTCAGGATTCTCAGAGAAATCAGAGATCCCTGCTTAGAGCTAGTCTAATATCCAAGCAATACTATTATAGATGACCACTTATATGATATAGGTTAAAGGATTTCAAAAGTGTCCTGCCAAAGAAATACCAACAGCTTCCCAAATCCCTAAAATTTTCACCACTATATACCAGGTAAGTAAATTAAATAGATTACATGACTATAATAGTTCTATATAAAAATAAAAATAAGAGAAGAAAAAGGAAGATGAAGAGGAGAGAGATCACAAATATACATATACACCAGAGGGGAACTAAAAACATGTGTGCAAAATTAACTGACTGGTCTCAAAAGAGCAGGATTGTTAGGGAACAAGAAATAGGACAAATCAGTAATGGATGTTTATGAAAGGGGCTGCAGAGCCCTGAGTGAGGTACCTTGTGAGAGGATCTAGACCATTAGGGAACTGTCTGCATAAACTGGGTGTCTAGAGGCATCTGAGACATAACAGAAGTAAAGGCAAACACATACTTTGTCTTTTCCCCCAATTTTTCACTGCCTTGTTCCCTATCCTTGAGCAGATAGAAGCTCTTAAAAACTCTGAAACAGCCGAAACCGGTTTGGCTCAGTGGACAGAGTGTCAGCCTGCGGACTGAAGGGTCCTGGGTTCGATTCCGGTCAAGGCATGTACCTTGGTTGCGGGCACATCCCCAGTAGAGGGTGTGCAAGAGGCAGCTACTAATCGATGATTCTCTCATCGATGTTTCTAGCTCTCTGTCCCTCTCTCTTCCTCTCGGTGAAAAATAAATAAAATATATTATTAAAAAAAAAACAAAAACTCTGAAACATAACAAAGCTTAAAGTAGTTCTATATAATCATACCAAATGTGATAATTTCCTCTAACAAAGAATTAAACTCACGAAGAAAAAGAAAAAAAATAATTGGGAATTTTACCTTAATCCAAATATTCTATAACTGAGATAAAAATAAAATGAATTAATTTTACTCACCAACAGTTTGTTCTGGTGCAGCAGTCAAAGCTAGGAACTTTTTTGTATTTTCCATTTCTTCATTACTTGGCATAGCTTTCCTATGTTTTGCAGACTAATGAAAGGGAAATTAAAGTTTAAATATGAGAAAAGAAAGCAATATCGGCCCTTGCTGATTGCTCAGTGGTTAGATTCTCAGCCCAAGGACTGAAGGGTTGTAAGTTTGATTCTGGTCAAGGGTACGTACCTTGGTTGCAGGCTTAATCCTATTTGCAGGAGGCAACCAATCACTCTCTCTCTCACATCGTTGTTTCTCTCTCTCTCTCTCTCTCTCTCTTTTTCTCTCTCTCCTCCCTCCCTCCCTTCTTCCCTCCCTCCCTTTCACTCTCTCTAAAAAATCAATGGAAAAAATATCCTCAGGTGAGGATTAACAACAAAAAAAAGAAAGCAACATTGATATTTTGTTAAATTTCAACTTGGTTTCCAATCTTGTACATACAACAAGAAAATTTAGTCATTTTTATTCCTTTAATTAGGAAACCTATTAATGTTTCCTGTCCCCACAAAATTCTATCAAGTATTCCCAAATTGAGTCAGATATAATGTCTAACATTATATCATAAATAGGGCCCAGTGCATGGATTCGTGCACTGGTGGGGTCCCTCAGCCTGACCTGCAGGGATCGGGCAGAAACTGACTCTCTGGCATCCCCCAAAGGGTCCCGAATTGTGGGAGGGCACAGGCCAAGCCAAGGGGTCAGGCACAGGCCAGACCCCTCCAGCCATGATCATGGCCAAGGAGGGACCACAGAAGGGTTCTAGGGAATTTCTGGTCCTTATTACCCAGTCCTGATCAGAGCCAATCGGGGCTGGCTAGGGAGGGACTGTGGGAGGTTGGCCGATGGGGAGGGACTGAGAGGGCTCCAGGGCATGTCACTTAAGTCCCGATCTAGGACCCCAGCAGCAAGCTAATCTACCAGTCAGAGTGTCTTCCCCCCGGTGGTCAGTGCATGTCATAGCACTGGTCGGATGGTCGAACAATCGAACACTTAGCATATTAGGTTTTTATTATATAGGATTACCTTACTTAAAATTATTGATACTTAATTTTCTGTTTAATATTTCTTTAATTAATGTGTAACCTAAAAGTACATTATCAAATTACAATTTCGGGTCATTTCAAGATTACTACTGTATTTCATTATGTTTCCAGTTATAATTCTTGTTTCCAAGCAAGTAAAAAATCTGCTTTGAAATTCAACAGGAATAAGTAATGGGAAAAAAAAATTTTTCTGTTAAAATTGACACAAATTATTTTTTTAGTTTAAAGCACTGCATTTTGTGGGTTCCTTTCTTTCCATCCAAGTGGTCTTCCTGATAATTTATAAAAATATATTCTTAGTTATCATTATTGTTCATTCATATTATTGTTAGGAAAATTTCCTCTGAAGTACCTCATTTGATCAAGGAGAAATTTATCAAAAAATTTCAGTTATTTCAATGTTCCTTACCTTAAAAGTGCTCTTCTTTGAGAGGGAAAATGAAGTGTGAGCCAACAGCTATACATCAAGTCAGTGCCAATATCTGGCCAATATCCACTCAATACCACAGAGAATAAGAGGTCTAAGAAGGCCAAGTAAAGTTCATCGAGCAATAAAAATACTGAGACAGAAGCAAAATAGAGTATGGTCCCAGACCTCAACCACATTAAAACTTCCTGAAGAGATCTTGACCAGAATATGAAATGAAAGACTTCCTCACTTGTTGATCACAAATGTTTACTCAAATAATGAGAAACAGGATGCCTACTGGATTGTTGGTGGATTACGGACACTCCAGTGCTAATGCAGTGCCTAAAATCTGGAATGCTGAAAAGTTACCTTCCTCCACAAAATCCTATATAATAAAGAGGTAATATGCAAATTGACCATCACTCCAACACACAAGATGGCTGCCCCCATGTGGACACAAGATGGGACAGCAGGGGAAGGCAGTTGGGAGGGACCAGGTCTGAAAAGGAGGGAAGTTGGGGGCAACCAGGCCTGCAGGGGAGGACTGTTGGGAGGGACCAGGCCAGCAGGGGAGGGCAGTTGAGAGAGACAAGGCCTGCAGGGGAGGACAGTTGGGGGGACCAGGCCTGCAGGGGGGAGATAGTTGGGAGGGATAAAGCTTACAGGAAGGGCAGTTTGGGAGGACCAGGCCTGCAGGGGAGGGCAGTTAGGGGCAACCAGACTGGCAAGGGAGGGAAGTTAGGGATGACCAGCCAAGCAGGGGAGGGCAGTTGGGGGCAACCATGCTGGCAGGGGAGGTCAGTTAGGGGTGACCTGGCTGGCAAAGGAGGGAAGTTAGGGGTGACCAGGCCAGCAGGAAAGGGCAGTTAGGGGCAATTGGGTCAGCAGGGGAGGATTTAGGGTCAATCAGGCTGGCAGTGATTGGGGGGCAATCAGGCAGGCAGGAAAGTGGTTTGGAGCCTGCAGTCCTGGGTTGTGAGAGGGATGTCTGACTGCCCCTTTAGGCCCAAGGACATCCCTCGAGGGGTCCTAAATTGAAGAGGGTGCAGGTTGGGCTAAGGGATTCACACCCCCCATCCCGTGCATGAATTTCATGCACCGGGACTCTAGTAAGTCAATAAAGGCAGACCACATTAATAACTACCACAGTCCGTGCTCTTTTTACTTGTCACAGAGGAAATGTCTTCTTACATGTCAGCATGTGTTTATATAATTCTTACCTTCAGGTCTTCCCATAGCTTTATTCTCATTTCTACACCTTGCTTCTGAACTTCTTTTTCTCTACATTGTTTCTTCATCAATATTTTATCAAGTCTATTCATCTTCTGAATCGCATCTTGAAGTTGAGAGTCCAATTCTTTTAATTCAGATTCATCTATATTGTGTTGAAAGTAGGAATAAGCTTGAAGTTTAAAAAGCCATAAAGCTTTGTTTTGTTTTTACTATTTCAACTTTCAATCAAGTAACATTGGGTTAAGTATCTTGATTTATAGGTGCTTTCATATGTAGTTTTTCACATAATTATCTAAAAATCCTGTGAAATAGACATGTATCTCTATTTTACAGCGGAGATAACTGAATTCTTTTAAATAGCTAATATATTACAGCACTGAACCCAGAAGTGAGTCTTGTATGATTTTATTTATTTATTTTTTTAATATATATTTTACTGATTTTTTACAGAGAGGAAAGGAGAGAGATAGAGAGCTAGAAACATTGATGAGAGAGTAACATCGACCAGCTGCCTCTTGCACATTGTGCCCGCAACCAAGGTACATGCCCTTGACCAGAATTGAACCTAGAACCTTTCAGTCCTCAGACCGACGCTCTACCACTGAGCCAAACTGGCTTCGGCAAGTCTTGTATGATTTTAATTTCCAAATTCTTTCTCCTTCATTCTGTTATACCTTTTATATTCATATAATTACCCGTATTTTCCGGCATACAAGATGACTTTTGAAACGAAAAAAAGTCAACCGAAAATCGGGGGCAAAAGAACAAAATTGCACAAAAATTACCTGCAGATCTTGACAGCAAAGTAAGTCTTTTCTTTGAAGGGGGGGAGGGGGAGGGTAGTCTTATACAGCGAATATAGGCCTAAACCTATGTTTTAACTGTAAAAAATTAGGGGGTCGTCTTATACGCCGGAAAATACGGTAACAAATAAGGAATAATACAAAAACCCTATCTTAAAGATGCTTCAGACTAATTGAAAGAGAAGGCATGTACACTAAGATACAGTGTGAAATGGAACATGTCATACTAGTGACACAAAATGGTTCCAACATATAGAAACAAATACGGAAAAGTACTCCATGTAATCAGACACCTTTTACTTATGCCCCTCCCACTTGTTCTATTTTCTAAATGCTCTTGAGTTGTGGATAACTGGAAATAACTTATTTGAAATTAGGGACTCTAGAACTTTCATCATTCAAGTTTTAACATGTTTAATGATATTAATAATATAAGCTAACATTTATAGTTGTTACTTGATAGGCATTGTCTAAGTACTTTATTTACATACATTATCTCATTTAATCCTCATCATAACCCTGTGAGGTTATAATTATTGGCCCCATTTTAAAAATTTGTAAACTAAGGCTAATTCATAACTGAGTGATATACATATCCAAGATGATATAACTACTAAATGGTAGTCAGTTTCCACCCTGATCTGTCTGACTCCAGAGCCAAAGCTCTCCAACCACGGATGATACTTCCTCTGTGACGCCCGATGAAAGATGAGATCATCCAGCAATGAGCATAACTACTCAAACACTGAAGTCTCAGCCACCCTAGTTTAGATCATTAGAAATGGCATATTATGCTTAGAAATACCAAATTTTATAACTTTTGAAAATCCAAAGAGTCTAATGATGTTTTTTTATAATGTATACTAGAGCCCCAGTGCACAAAATTTGTGTACAGGGGGGTGTCACTCAGCCCAGCCTGCACCCTCTCTAATCTGGGACCCCTCAAAGGATGTCCTACTACCAGTTTACAGAGAACGGGCCCAAACTGACAGTCAAACATCCCTCTCGCAATCCAAGACTGCTGGCTCCTAACCGCCCGCTCACTTGCCTGCCTGATTGCCTCTCACCACTCTGCCTGCCAGCCTGCTTGCCCCCAACTGCCCCCACCCCTGCAGGCCTGTTCGTCCCCACCCTCCCTCCTCACTGGCCTACTTGCCTCCAACTTCCCCCCTGCTGGCTTGCTCACTCCAAACTTCCCCTCCCCCTTCTGTCCTCATCACCCCCACTGGTGGTCTGCTCGCCCCCAACTGGCTCCTCTGCTGGTCTGCTCACCCTCATCTTCTCTCCCCCCCTCCCCCCCTCCCCCCCCTCCGCAACGCCAGCCTGATCACCCACAACTACCATCCCATCCTGGCCTGATCACCCACAACTGCACTCTCCTCTTGGCCTCTAACCACCTCTACCTCGGCCCCACCACCATGGCTTTGTCCAAAAGAATATCCAGAAGGTCTCCTCCAAGGTCTCCCAGTCTAATTAGTATATTACCCTTTTATTAGTATAGATAGAGGCCTGGTGCACGTATGGGGGCTGGCTGGTTTGCCCTGTAGGGGGTTCTGGATCAGGGTGGGGGTTCCCTTGGGGCATGGGGCAGCTTGGGCGAGGGGCCTGTGGTGGTTTGCAGGCCATCCATGCCCCCATGGGGTGAGGATCCCCACGGGGGGGGGGGGGGGGGAGGCGGCGTGGCCAGCCTGGGTGAGGGGCTGAGGTCCATTTTCAGGCTGGCCACAACCATTTCAGGATGGGGATCCCCCCCTGGGGTGCCTGGCCATCCTGGATAAGGAGCTGATGGCTGTTTGCTGCCTTGTCAAGCCCCCCAGCAGGGACGCTCACACCAGGGGGGTGTGGCAAGCCTGAATAAGGGGCTTTTTTTCTTTCTTTTTTTTCTTTTTTTTTTTTTTTTTAGTGCTTCCTTGAGCAGAGGTCAGGGAAAACCAGGGCAGACAGGAAGTTTGGCTTCTTCCATCTCTGGGGTCAACCCAAGCCTCCTGCTCACTCCAGCACCATGGCCACCACCATCTTTGTTGGGTTAATTTGCATACTCTCTCCTGATTGGCTGGTGAGTGTAGCAGAGTGATGGTTAATTTGCATGTTTCTCTTTTATTAGTGTAGATTACTTCTTCTTTAAGGAAATTAAAACATTTTCAGAGGGAATAAGCTTATCCAAAAAGATCATATTAATAAGGAGGCTCTGCACATTTTAATGTGTATGTACTTCAAATGCAATACCCTCTAGTTCTAAATCCTAGCGTGTTCAGGCTCTGTGTACACAGTCATCTATAGAACTGGCATTTTTAAATAACTCATCATGCAGGACTGAAACAATGTTAAATACAATGTAAACTGGGTGACAGCTCATTTCAACTACAATACCTTGTTTCCTGATGACTATAATCCTGAATCACCTGGCCTTACTTTGAGAGTTAACATCATCCCAAATTTATACTAACTCAGCAGTTTTCACAGTTTATGAATCTCACCTTCTCTTGCATGGGTGGGGAACCTTTTTTCCGCAAGTGTCATTTGGATATTTATAATATCATTCGCCATACACAACCAACTTAAAAATTAACCTGCTATATTTGGCCAAACATATAATTAACTAAACCCTAATGCCTTGTCAAGGCCAGACCTAATGATTTCATGGGCCTTCCATAGCCCGTGGGCAGACATTCGCCACTCCTGCTTTATAGCCTTAAAAATTACTCAGAATCCAAAGTAGCTTTATGTATGTGAGTTATATCTATTGATAATTATAATATTAGAAATCAAAACTGAAAATATTAATAATAACCATTGTAAATATTTATTTATTCATTTTTAAATAAATGTTATTACTAATTATATGTTAACATAAATGTAATATTTTTTAAATAACTATATTTTCCAAAAAATACTGAAAAGAATAGCATTGTTTTAATTTTTGAATATCTGGATTAACAGAAGACAGCTGAAATCTCATATTTGCTTCTGAAGTCACTCTAGAGCAATCTGTCATTTTAGTTAAAGTGGCCACATAAGACATACAGTAGGAAAGAAGAGAATTGTAAAGCCTTTTTAGATAATGGTGAATATTCTTCTTTGACACTATAAAAATTCAATAAGGGGTGGTCTCTATAAGGTTAGTTGTAATGTAAACCCTCTAACCATACTAGTGAACTTTTTGTATTTGTTCCATTAAAATCCATGGTTCTATCTTTCATGTTAAATGGGTCTTTTACCCTGCAGTGGTCATTCGGAAAACAGTGGTTCACTGAATTATGCAGACCTTCTAATGTTAACACATTTCAGTATGCAACATCAAAAAAATCACATTTGTTAATATGGCCACCAATTTTTTTTTTTTTTCAGAAAAGTCTAAGTATTAGGAAGTTGTCAAGCTCACATGGACATGCATAAGTTTTCTAAAATCCCACCTTTCACTTGAAAGCTCAAATTTTATCATTGACCAAAAATACTGTCAATTGTCTTGCTTGAGGTAACAGGCTCATTTCTTTTTTTATTGATTTTTATTGATTTCATAGAGGAAGGGAACAGGAAATAGAGAGATCAATGATAAGAGAGAATCATTGCTTAGCTGCCCTCCTGCATGCCCTTCCCCCTCCCTTCTCCTCTTCCTTTCCCCAGGGATTGAGCAGGCAACCTGGGCATGTGCCCTGACCAGGAATCCAACCCTGAACTCCTAGTTCATGGGTCAACATTCAACCACTGAGTCACACCGGCCAGGTGATTTTTTTAAAAATGAATGCCAAATACCCAAGTCTAAAGGATAATAGTTTTTCTGTTGGTCATTCTTTCAAGTAAAAATGGTGTTCCGTTTAAAAAGTGGACACTTCAGTTCTCAAACTATCACACAAATACTTTTCCTTAGCACAACCTTCACATTTTGGAATACTAACTAGTACAGCAGAATTGTTTTATATGTACCTCCCATTCTACCTCAAAAGATATTAAAAAGATGTGTATTCAAAGGTCAAGATATAATAAAATTATTAATTTTTATTGCTTCAAAGACATTCTTGAGTGACAATTGCTATTGCTTTTTTCTGCCAGTGCCTGGTCATAAAGAATATAATGACTATAAATTTTAAAAAAATAAAAAAAAGAATATAATGACTAAGAGTGCAATTTGATGCCATTGCCTTGGTTCAAATTTATGCCATTGCCTTGCTAAAGCACCAACAATTTTACCTATACTGCTTTTGCTCCATCAGTGCAAATGTCCATTCAGTGGGCAAGAAGGCAAATTAATTATTTTCAGCATTATGATAAACTACATTACTAATATTTTATGTCAATATTGTGATGAAAGTAGTTTTTACTTTTCAGAGCTCCTGAAAGGGTCCTAGAGACGCCCAGAGCTCTGAAGACCACATTTTGAGAAACGCTGTTCTAATTCATTGGCCAGTATTAATTTAATAACCATGAAAAAAGGAGTCTTATAAAATCCAATAATTGGTAATATCAAGTGGCATTATCCCTAAAAAGTATTTATAAATTACATGATACATTTTATTGTACAATTTTAGTAATCAAAAAGATCAATAATTCCTGTAATGAAATACAGAAATAAAGCAATTTTATTAAATTACATATCTTATTATTTTTCTAAGTATACTTAAGGACTCCTAATAGACTTCTAAATAATAACTTATGATCGATTGTTCATACAAAAAATAACTCATTATTTCAACTTACCTGATAAAAACATGTCTAATTCTAATATTTTAACATCTATAATTATCATTAGCCAATTACCTACCTGAACATTTAGAAATTAGCTGTTGTTGAGATAAGTTCAAATCTTCATCTGACCCTTCTTCAGCCAGTTTTATATTATTCTCAGAGTAATGTTCTCCTTTATCATCCTTATTGTTTCTACTTCCCTCTGTATTACTGCTTTCTGAGTGGCCCTCTTTATCAGAGTTCAACTTGATTGCAATATCAATCTAAAAATTATTTCCAAAGAAACATTTTTCAAAAATAATGTACTATTTTAAACTTTGAGTTTCTAAACTATTTTAGATAATGGAGGTATATCTGGGGACACACATACACTAGTATTAAAGTATTCTAGGAATTAACATTTCTTAATTAAATGTAATTTAGCTACACAATTAAATTTAATAACAATCTGCACCAAAGAAATAGGCACCGTTCTCTAGCAATTTCTAGCAATAATGGAGAAAAGTCAGGAATCAGTCCTGAAGAGAACTGCTTTTAGGGAACAAGACATGCTTGTCCCTGCTCCCTGAGCTTATACTCAGCTGACAAGTCAAAGGTCTAGAGCTGTGCTGTCCAATCCTGTATAATAAAGCCTAATATGCTAAGTGTCTGGTCAACTGGTTGGTCGTTCAATCAATCAAAACATAATATGCTAATGATATGCTAAGACTGCTCAACCACTAACCTACCACCAAGGGGCAGATGCTCCAGCTGGTAGGTTAGTTTGCTGCTGGGGTCTGATTGAGTGGGACTCAGCAAGATGGGCCAGACACATCCTGCAGCCCTCCCACAGTCCTTACCTGGCTGGCCAACCTCCCATATCCCTCCCTAGCCCCAATTGTGCACCAGTGGGGTTCCCTGGCCTGGCCTGCTCCCTCTTGCAATCCAGGATCCCTCAGGGTATGTCAGAAAGCTGGTTTTAGCCCAATCCCACAGGCCAGGTCAAGGGGTCCCACTAGCACACGAATTCATGCACCAGGCCTCTAGTATAATATAATAAGCCACCTGTGACTATTGAACAGCTGAGAAGTAAACAGGCCGAATTGAAATGTACTTTTAATGAAATTCAAATCATAACCATGTGCTTTGGTGATTATTTTTATGCTATTTACAGTTTTTCTATTTCATTATGGTTTCTCTTTCCATTTTAGCAACCTTCACTTTGAAAACACCACTTTGATGCAGCTGTGTTTTCCTGAGAGAACAAGAAAAGACATCCACAGCTGAGTCAGGAGAAAACAGGGGTCACAGGTCACATGGCACATGGCAGGGAGAGTCATAGTGGAAATAAACACAGCCCAAGAGAGGGTCATAACCTCAGGGAAAGAGAGCCAGCCACTTTTTTTTTTTAATCCTCACCTCAGGCATGCTTAGACATATGAAGGACATGCTCATAGAGAGGAAGGGCATGCTCACAGAGAGGAAGAAGAGAGAGACATCGATGTGAGAAACATAGAAAAGCATGCTCCCTGACTGGGATCAAACCCACAACCCAGGCATGTGCCCCGACTGGGAATCTAACCAGCAACCCTTAGGTGCACCAGAGGACACTCAACCGAGCCACTTCAGGGGACGGGCAAGAGCACCAGCCACTTCTGAGAGGAGTACCTTTTCCCTCCCAATGGAAGGACTGTCTCCTCCAGTCCCTCCGGGCTCAGTCTTTGGAGGGTTTTATGCTCTTTCTTCACCCACGTGATCAATCTCCCCTACTGTAATCTGTGCCCCTCGAGAATCTCCAAGGCAGGTTGGTGGTGCTGAGAATTAAACTGCCAGGGATACAGGAGCATCTCTGTTCACCCGAACTGGTACATAAATCCCAGCAGAACTGAGCTGAGTCAGTGGTATAATAATTATAGCCACCATTTAATGGTGAATTACTATTCGCCACGTCCTGTGCTAAGTACTTTGCACACACTGCCTCCTTCACTCCACACAATGACCCTATGGTAAAGGCACTGCTGCCTGATTTAACAGAAAAGAACGGATCTGGTATAGAATGAAATTTGAAGACCCAATTTATAAACAAAACAATGCCTACTTTACGCAATCTCAGAGGTTTTAAGAGGGTTCCCTGTTCAAAACACACTTCTGTCAAAGGCCAAATAAAACCTGGAATCCATATATCCAGGAAATCCTTAAGGATTTTCTGTAAAAATGCTGAAATTGCTGGGAAAGGTCCCGTGGGCCTTGTCAGTCATTTATATCATGGCATTAATGATTTTAGCTGACCTTAACCTGAGAATGGGTTTTTATGGAGAGGAATATAGGATATATAAGTAAGATAACCAGATAATAGCAATATACTCAGATAACACACTTCAGGACATATAAAGACCTTTCACATGTATCGTCACATATGATCCTGTTAGAATGAGTAGGAAACAATCAGGCAAAAAGATGAAACTGGAAAACAAAAGGCTAACTTTGTTCATTCCACAATTTTACCCATAGATCCCCACCCATCTTCCCCAGCCCGTTCATTGTCCCATAGTCTCTCTGCTCTTAACCCTCCTGCTCTTCTACCCTGTGGCCTCTGTGTATGATTTTCCTTCCTTCTTCATTCTCAAAGCCACATTCCAGCTCCAGTTTTCATTTCTCCATGTCCCCCACTTCATACCTGCATGTTAGTCCCAGGAAAAGTAAATACCTGATAGAAACCTTTCCTAACAATTAGATTCCCTATCTGAAAGATATGGGATTTTTACCAAAAATATTCATAAGCAAAAATAAACCAAAAAAACTTAGAATGAGAAATCTATTATTACTAAAGAAATTTCATTAAAAATCTAGCATTTTAAATTAATTTTCTGCCATATAAAAAATTCTGGCAATATATCAGTCAATGCCCAATTTGAACAATACAACTAATAGAAACTCCAGGATTTATTATTCAGACAAAACACAAGGTTTCATAGACACTGAATCATTTGCAATCAGAAGTTAACGTGCAATAGACCTGTGGCTTCCTTCCCCAATCTAAGATGGACCTTACATATTTTCCAGGAACATGATTAATGCAAATCACAATTTTTTAGGAGGCTTTCCTTTTTATAATAAATATTCTAGTGTTAACTGTAGCTTAGTGGGTTCAAATAAAATCTTATTTGAGTGACCACCGATATTTTTCTTTTAAATAAGTCTTGAACAAAGTAATATTAATCAATGTATTAAAACGTGTGTGTCTATATTGTGAAGTTGCTGCTTTACAAAAAAAAAAAAAAAAAATCAGCCAGGAATATATAAGCAGAAATAATAATTCTATGCTACTCTAAATTTTATCAGGTTTTTGTATATTATCCTACCTACACAAAGAGGAAAAATCTTCATTCTAAATTTATTGAACACATATTTTATGAATACTTACTATGTGCCACACTAAATGCTGAATGCTATGAATAACACAGAAAGGATGGACCGATTGAGTTAAAGAATTGAAACCCGCCCCCACATGGGTGGCTCAGTTGGTTGGAGCATCTCATACACCAACCAACATGCTGGAACTGGCTTCTGGCAGTCAGTGCACGTTATAGCAAGCAGCTGAGTGGCCTTAACTCTCTGTGCTGGGGTCCCTCGGCCTGGCCTGTGCCCTCTCGCAATCTGGGACCCCTCAGAGGATGTCAGAGAGCCAATTTCAGCCCGATCCCGCAGGCCAAGCCGAGGGATCCCACTGGTGCACAAATTCATGCACTAGGCCTCTACTTTCATATAAAATTGTCTAAAGTAAAGTCCAAGAAATCTGAGTGCTCCCAGCGCTACTCAAAAGAACCACCTTAAAATGGGATGTTAACAACTTTGATGTATCAGAGTTTAAATCATTCCTAAACAGCAAAGTACCTTGAAGGGCACTGGCTCGGGTGAGAGCACCTCCAAAGAAGTTGCTGAACACCTGCTCTCAGGACGTGTTCTTGAACTTGAGGCTGGTTTTGAAATCCCGTCTAAGTTTCCCTTTATAATATCCATTGATATCCTGAAACAAATATTTTAAAGCAAGTTATTATGCATATTTGTTTCAGTAGGTTAATATGCAATTCATGGTCTTTGTTATAAGAATTATGTTGCTACCAAAGTCACACTACCCTAATTTCATGAAAGACGTCTGTGTCTGTGGATTATTAGATTTTATTTCACTGTAGGTGGAAAATGCTGCCTCAGGTGTTCGATTCTGAAAGTGGCTAAAAAGAATGCATAAGTGAATTCCATCTTGATGGCTTCCTGTGCCTCTGAGAGATATTCAATACACTCATGAAGCACCACACCTCTGGACCAAGATTCACGCTTTGTCGTAATGACTGGCTAAGCCCTCTACTTTCTTCTGGTTTTGCCCGCCTTATTCCTCCTCGTCTTCCCTCTCAGTTCTGAGTTCTCCTCACCTCCTTGGTGCTGTATTTTCATAGAGTACCTACCTCCAGGTCACTGCTCTTTTTCTATCAACCCTCCCCCTCTAAAACCCATGACGCTACTTCTGCCCTCTGAGTCAACAGAGAACAAAACTACTTTCTCAAATAGGGGGACAAACTTTCATTATCTGGCTACACATCGCCAATCTTTTTAACTGTATTTCTTGTGTCACCACCACAGACCTCTCACCACTCTGGCTGCTCTATTCCCAGTGCTGCTTTTGGAAGCAGGAACTATGAGGCAGGGTGGTTTAAGTGAGTGGGAGGACTTGGGGACTGCTTGCACATTGACCCTTCCGAACTGTGGCTTTTTCAGTTAAAGAATTGAAACCCGCCCCCACATTGGTGGCTCAGTTGGTTGGAGCATCTCATACACCAACCAACATGCTGGAACTGGCTTCTGGCAGTCGGTGCACGTTACAGCAAGCAGCTGAATGGCCTTAACTCTCTGTTAAGAGAGTCCAGATTTGTTCAGGAATGTGAGGCTGTCATGCCTGCTGAATAAAATGAAAGGAATAGGGAGAGTTCCAGTTTGGCCTTCCCGATACTTAGCTTTATACGTGAATGGAAATCTTTCAACAAATTTTTTCCTAAATTCCTATCAATTATGAACTAAATCATTTCTCTCATAACAGCATGAAGAAAGGCAATTGCATCTGGCTCAGCAATTGTTAACAACATCCTTTCCTTATCCTACAAAGTGACTCGTCATTCTCTGTTTTTTAAACAGCACAGGCTGAGTCCAGAGAAGTTTTGGACACAGGCAGAAGCACAAACATAAACAACCTGATGTGTCTCCAAGGCACACAGACCATTCAGTGTGCCAAAGCTGGTGCCTAAGGAACCAGTAGGTCAAGTCTTTCCATCTCAGCAAATGAAAAAGGTATTGGCCTCAATGTTATTCAACTCCGCAAAAGGGTTCTGGCTCACTCAGGAAGGCACTGACATTATTATTGTGGGATGACGGATTACCCTGGCCGGTCATGTCACAATCAAAAAGCGTAAGGCACTGAAAGGCCAAATGTCTTGTAAATGCCCTAAGGAGCTTGTCAGGGAGACTTATTGCAGCTTACAGAAGGAGCAGTGGGACGGAAGCATGTGCAGAGCCAGTATAATACATGTCAGTACAGAGTGAGACCCGGGTAGCCACCAGTGACATGGATCGGCTATAAGGCTCCAGAAATCTTTCAGTTTGCTTTAGAAATAAGTCTGTTCTATTATTTTTGCTCCTGAAAATAATAAATTAAATTAAATACAGTTCCCAGGGAGAGTGGGAATATAACTGACAATCTTTGAATTTGGCCCATATAGAAAAAAAGTATGGTAGGATCTCACAGATGTATTTGAGTGTTTGAGAGGAAACCTCAATAGCCACATAGAAATTCCACAAGAAAAATAAAGCACCGTACAAAAAAGAAAGCAATTAAATGACAAAATTGGGGAGTAACTGGAACTTTCATATACTGGTTGTGAGAATACAAAACAGGACATCCGTGTTATAGAACTGCTTGGCATTTTCTTATAAAGCTAAACATACACTTACCATACAATTTCACATTCTCATTTCTAGATATTTACCAAAGAAATATATATGGTTCACACACACACACAAATAAAACTGTACATGAATGTTTATAGCAGCTTCATTAATTGCCCAAAACTGGAAATAATCCAAATGTTGCTCAACTGCCCTAGCCAGTTACTCAGTGGTTAGAGCGTTGGCTGAAGGACTGAAGGGTCTCAGGTTCGATTCCAGTCAGGAGCACATACCTCAGTTGTGGGGGTTGCAGGCTCAGGCCCGGCCCAAGTTGGGGACATATGCGGATGTAACCCTTTTACAAAGATGTTTCTCTCTGTGTGACTCCCCTCTCGCTCCCACTCTCTCTAAAAATCAAGGGAAAAATATCCTCCAGTGAGGATTAACAAATGTCACTCAACAAGGGAATGAATAAGCAAACTATGGTACATAGTTTGAATACTACCCAGCAATATACAGGGACAAACAACTGATACAAAACATGGAGGAATTTCAACTGCATTATATTAAATTGAAAGAAGCCCGGTTCAAAAGACTCCATAATGTCTGCCCAATTATAGGATATTCTGGAATACACAGAACTTGAGAGGAAATGGTTGCCAGGGCTGGGAGCAGGGAGGGCTTAACTACAAAAAGGATACCAGGGGATTTGTTCTGTGTCTTGACTCTTGTGGCAATTGTGTTTGTCAAAGCTCATCAGACTGCACATTAAAAGGGTGAATTTTACCATATATAAAGTATACCTTAATTTTAAGTTAACCTCTTTTACAAATTTTTGTCTTGTTATAGTTATGAATCCAGAAGATCAATGAGAATTGCTTAGTCAAAGAACATTTGCGTTTCAAATTCTGGTAGTCTGTCAAATTGTTCTCCAAAGATACTGTACCAACCACACTGCTACCACCCAGTAATGATGAGATGGAAGCCTGTTTCCCCGCGTTGGACTGGGGTCATTGGTTAACGCCAACGCTTTTTCATCTTTGTCAATCTGGAAAGAGCCAAAAGTTATCTGGAGTTGGACTGACTTCGTTTTAATTACAAGAGAAGTTGAGCCTCTAGTTAAATGTTCGGTGGCCACCGCTTAGTTAGTTAGTTGAAATTCAGATTTGCATTCTTGGTCATTTATGGTCTATTTTAGTGGCTGATGGTTGATTTTATTTTTTTTTTAATTTTATTGATTTTTTACAGAGAGAAAGAGAGAGGGATAGAGAGTTAGAAACATCGATGAGAAACATCGACCAGCTGCCTCTTGCACATCCCTACTGGGGATGTGCCGGCAACTAAGGTACACCCCCAGTCCGCAGGCGCTCTACCACTGAGCCAAACCGGTTTCGGCTGATGGTTGATTTTAATAGAAATAATAGGATATTGGTCAGACTCCCAGGCAGGCCCCGCCCCGGCCCCGCCCCCTCCCGGCAGCCCGCGGCCTCCCCCTTCGCTGCGCTCCGCGTGGGCCAGTGGCGGAACTACCGAGCGGGCTCCTCACCTGCCCGAGGGGACTCTGGGAACTAGTCGCTCAGAGGCACGCCACGTCCCCTTAAGAAACAAGGAGGTCCCTCCTGTCACCACAGTTAACTACTCGGAAGGTGAGAGGAGTTGCAGGTCCAAAGCCCTCCTGCTTCTGAGAACGCTGTTCCCCTGGCAACCGAGCCACGCGCTCCCAGTCTCGCGATAACAGGAAAGGGCTGTACCACCCAGAATGAGACGTGGGGGCGGGGCGGCGAGGCGCTGGGGCAGCCCCCCCCCCCCCCCCCCCCCGGCTGGTTGGTGGTTCCGGAGGACGCGCTGGGTAGGGGATGGTTTGTTCCTATTGAGGCTGAACTCGCATGGATGGAGATGTCTGGGTGCTAGCTAGTGTGGCTCCGGCCTTCTCTGTCTATATGGTGCCGGCCCTGCAGGTCCGCTCCCCTCGCTGAGCCCGTTGCTTCCTCTGTAAAATGGGGATGATAATATATTAATAGCTCCTCTGTAAAATGGGGAAGATTGTGCAGCTCCAAAAGATCATGTATGTGAAGTTTTTGCTAAAGGTTGGATACCGTATAAATTAAAAATTAGTAATTGCATAAATAGGGCCACAGCCCCAAGAGGGTAAAAGTGATATTTGTAGTTTCTGTCATTGTCAGTGCATGAAGATTCTTTCGTTTAGTCCACAAACTGATTTCCTTCATCCCCAGTACCATGAAATACCTGCTTTCCCTTCCCCTAACCGCCCCCCCCCCCCACACCCTCCACCCCCAGTCTGGGCAGCACTTTGCAGTTTACAAGGCATTTTCACATACTTGGCCCCTGTATTTTCGTTGTTTGAGGTGGATAGGGTGTGGATTCAAGTGGTTTTCAGCAGAATAAACAGACAAAGGTTCAGTGAGTTCCTCAAAAAACCACAGCAACCGACTTGGGCAGTGCTGGCTGTAAACCCCGCCCATGTGCTGCTCACCCTGCATTTGTAGCTCCAGCCCAGACTTCTCCCCAGAGCTCCACTCTGTTGTATCTGACTGTGACATGTCCACTTAGACATCTCCGCTTACCTGTAAGAAGCATCTCAAACTTCACATCAAAAATCAGTCTTCTCCACAGTCCCCACCATCACCACCATCACCATACTCCATCTCAGTAAGTGGTAACTCCATCCTGCCAGACTCAGACCAAAAACCTTGAAGTCATCCTCAAATCCTTTTCCTCTCACATCCTGCAATCAAGTTATCAACCCGTCATCTCTACACTCAATATATATCCAGAATCCAACCACTTCTCACAGCCTTCAGTGCTTCCAGTGAGGTCCATCCTGCCATCGTCTCTCATGTAGATTTTTGCAATAGTCTTTTACTGCTGCCTCCCTGGACTCTTCTGCTTTCGAACAGCAGCCTGAATGATGCTTTTAAACCCTAAGTCAAACCATGTCACTCTGGCTCAGACCTTTCCAGGGCTCCCCATTTCTCACAGTCTTTACAATGCCCACCAGTCCTGAATGACCAGGCCCTCTCTTCTCTCTCAGACCTCCATTTCTACCACACTTTCCTGGCACACTG